ATCATCTTGATACAATTTTGTAACTTATCTTATCATATATACAGCAAAATAAAAATAAAAATAAAAATAAAAAAAAATTTTAGATTATTCATTGGTAATTTTAATGTCACATAGGATCATTAATCCAATCCTTTAAATATCTTTATATTTTAAACCACTATTGGTTAAATTGCAAGAAATTTAGTTTTAAAAATTTTAACAGCCCTAATTTTAGTTGATTTCACTAAATATAGCTTTGCTGACTAAGAATTCATTCTCAAGATTTATAAATCAATTTTATTACCTTCGATAATTTTAAAATTGTTCTTTAATCAAATTTGAAGTAAGCCTGTTACCTTTACTAGCCTGGTTATAGTTACATGTTCGATCATGAGATAGACCTGTCAGATGTTAGCATGAAACAAAATTTGATAAATAGCTTAGAACAAAGGCAAAAACATAAGTACAGAGAAGGATATGGTTGATAGCAGTTCTAGTCACACTAAAAATATTTCAGGACATTCTATATAGAGCAGAAGTACTAGCTGTGGATCATTTGATTTTGAGTATATGTATAGTAAAATGGCTAACACAGATCAGCCTTTGCACTTGTTTGTGCTAGAGAAAAGGTATAATCGATTGTAGTTTTGAAGAAATAGGTTTATAGAAGAGCCGTAACTTGTTGAAAGCCAGAAATCAATAGAATACAATGAATATATAAAGCAAGGATGTTAATTGACAAGGTGCTTAGTACTGATATTGTTGATTATTTACTGTTGGTGTATTCTACAATTTTGTTAGAAACTCAAACCCAGTTTATTTAATATGATTTGTAATTTGTACACCTGCCCTTAATGCAATTGCATTATTTTTTTCAATTTTTAATGATTTATTTAAATCTACAAGTGATTCTTATTACTATATATTTATTTATATCTTCATTATGCATTTGCATTATCTAGTTTGATTTTTAATGATTATTTAAATCTGCAAGCGATTCTTTGTATCTTCCTAATTTACAATACTGTATATTACTCTATAATTTTTTTAATGTATCTGCACTTTTTGTTAATCTTTAATGATTTATTTAAATCATCAAATGATCTTTATATTTGCTCATCTTATAATAAATACTATCAGTTAATTCTTTAGAAAAACTCTTGAGAAAAGCATAGTTTATTTAATAAAACTATACTCTTAGTATTATAAATCCTTTTGGATATTAATATGTCTATCTTTTTTAAAATGAGTAGGAACTTAATTAACAAAAAAAAATATATTGTGATTTTCATATTCTATAATTTCTAATATTATGGATTTCTGGTTAATCTTTTTGCCTCCATCTTTTAATGTATGTTTAAAAAAATAGGTTACATGTTTATAGTTCTTTCGCTTAACTGCTTAACAGAAAAATGCATCAAGTCCAAACTGATGATAAAGATTAATAAATTTGGGCACGTGATAAACCATTGTATAAATATATAGCATAATATCTTCTAGTTGGTACAATTCATATTCAAAAGTTTCAGGTTTATTAATATTTCCTTTTGAAGAGGTAAGAAATAATTGAATCTATTGTTGAGCTTTCATGATAATCTCTGTTTCACTAATTTCTAAATTCTTCATATCTTTATATATAAAAAAAAGCTATTCCAAAGTTTACGAATTTTGATTGCTCTATTATAAAGAAATATAGTATTAAAATTGAATAACTCTAAAACCTTTATTTTGTTATTGTCTATAAAAGATGTATAAAGCCAAGTTTTAGAATTTTTATCTTTTCAAAATAAAAATTTAATATTAATATATGATATTTCCTAACTAATTATTTGGTAAATGGTATCATTATATTGTCTGGTATTTTTTAATTCACTAATAACTAATGTCTATAATCTGTCAATAATTCGAAGCATAAGATGTAAATGATTTATAACCTAATTTTGAATTAGAATTATAAAAAAAAGTAGTTTATTGATATGATCTGGGTTTTTTGTATAATTTGTAACAAGAATTTCGATATTTTTAAAAATTGTCCAATTATCTTGACAGATATTATTAATTTTTAATTTTCTATTTTGAGCTTTTTTGATTAAACACCAAATACAAAAATCTTCACTATTGGCAACCTTATAACCTTGACAGATACTTAAAAATTTCCAGTCTGCAGACAAATAAAGTACATATTCCAGTAATTTACAGCTAAATCAAACATATCGTCTTGAATTTCTTCTAATTTAGCAATTAATAAAGACAATCCAGATTTTAAAGAATTATATAATTCATTACTAGGGTATAAAAATAAAATGAAATGATGATCAGAATAATAAATATTACTTTTATCATTCAGGATTGCAAAAGTAACTATAACATAGTTTATTTTTCATTCTATGTTTCTCCTGTTACCAAAGATTCGTATATATATAGTTGGGTCTGATAATGTTAATATATTTTTTGTAGCAAAGTTAGAATAATGAATATAAGAACTTTTTTATAAATCGTATAGCACCTTTTTCAATTGGAGTTGCTGTTTTATCAATAATTTCTTGTTCTTTTATATCAATTATTGAATTATTGTTATTTTCATATAATGAATCTAAATTAATAAGCTGAATTGGTATATTTATTATTATTTTTTTATCTAATTTTAATTTTTGATCCAAAACAGCCTATTCTCGCAGGAGATCATGACTAATTCAGGCCAAAGATCGATAAGCCACCCTAGAAATCAGATTTTTATCTATTACTTTAATAACTACAAGTTGTTATGATTCTTGATTATTTTTTTCATATATAATTCTAAATTTATTATTGTTAACATTAAATGCTAACTTTTTAAGTTTAATCTGATTAATTTTATTAAAATACTGTTGAGAGCGTATTTCAAAATTTTGCAGTATATTAACTCCTATATTTTTTCTTTAATTTATTTGCATTCTATTATTAAGATCGTTAAAAGGTTTTAATAATTAACCTTGTGCTTTTTTTCAAGAAATTCTTTAATTTGTTTTAATTGAAAACTAAAAAGAAGGATTCTATTTATTTTGCTTTTACGAATTGAAGTCTATAAATAGTTTTTTAAATATATATTAAAATATATTTAAAATATACTTATATTCAAATTTAAATACATACTGTAAGGCAGATTATTTGATAGAACTCTTTCTGTAAATCATTTACACAAAATTTAACTAAAAATTTGCTAGTCAAAAATTGTTAATAACATATTATTTTATTAAGATAACTGCTTGGCAGCATAAATAAATTTGTTCAGCTCAAAATTTTACATATAATTTGAAAGTTTCAAGCCTCTATCTTGTAAGCTCGTAGCAAAACACTACAAAAACTTTTTTGGTTTTAAAACTCCAACTTCTAATTATTTCTCTAAAACCACCTTCACAACTTATCTAGCAGCTCTAAGATAAGTTGTTAAGCTCACCTACCCAGTCAAAACAAGCTCTCAACAAAAGTTTTTGACCTAATATTGACCAAGTTACCAATAGAAAACTCTTTTTACTTCTCTACAAAAATTTATTAAAAAATTCTTTGTTTTTACTCCAACTTTTTTTTCTCTTCAACCCATTTTTTATATAACAGTAAATCACCTCCAAATTTAGATTTAATTAAATTTTCTATAGTATCAATCAAATTACTCAAAATAGTAACTTAATTAATAATACAAAGCTATTTTTATCATTTGTTATCTATTACCATTTTTATACAACTTCTGTACTCCAATACACTATTTAGTACTATGTGTAACTTCTCTGTTATACTAGCCACACTAACCACACCCTCATATCACCAATACTAATTTGAGTTACACAATATTATATAAGGTTATACAAGCCACACTAGCCACAGTTGTAATACAACAACCCTGCCTATACCTACTCTTGCCATAGTGCTCTGCTATTACTACAATATTACAAGTTTTCTAGCTAATATATTTAAAAAAATTTATTAAGTCAATCTATTCTGCACCTCTAAGCAAAATCTAACAACAAGATGCCTACTTCTATTGCCCAAAACCCTGACATCATTAACCTCGATGCCTATTTTAAAAGCTATACAAATCGCTAGGCTATTGCTATCCACAAAGATAACCTTAAAGATATCAAAGTCATTCCTAGTGGATTCAAGTCAAAGTCTTGTATTACAACAAATACCAGAACCCTCAAAGCTACCTATTTCTTCAAAGCACCAGCAACAACTGCAACAATTCAATGTCTTTGTCACAATTATCATACACACTTTGTTTCAGAAACTGATATTCACTATATCTTTACCTTTATGACTCCTATTATGTCTAAATATCAAAAAAAGAAAAATACTAATCAAGATATATCTAAAAAAATTACTCAAGCTCTAGCCTCAACTTCATCAACCATCCAAGTCTCACCCTCATCCTCCTTTTATACTCATACTTGCCAAAAGTGCTGTGTACCAATTAACTGCAAATTAGTTAATAGCAATCACCAACTT